GGTGATAGTGTTTGGATCTACTTTAATCTTCATCATTACTGACGTTTTTCCTCTTCTGATTCCTGCTGTGTTGGGTTTACCTCTAGTAATTATTCTCCCATCAGAATTGCATCTAGCGTGCAGAAAAAGGCTTCACGTCCTTGGCCCCGCGGCTGTTTAAGAAATCCCAAAGACTACAGGGTGACTCTTGAATGGAGCTGCCATAGATGGACAGGCTGCCGTGTTGGCTGATAGGGATTGTGTACTCCGGAGTGTATTGAGGAATATAGGCTCTCTGATCACGTAGTGATTCCACCACCTTGAAATGAAAAATAATGGCTGTCAGCCTACAGCGTCACTTGTCATACACAAACCACCAGCTTCCCTCCCTTTTTATTCTGACCTGCTTTTTAGTGTATTTGGGGGGGGGGGGGGGGGAGTAAATTGTGTAAAGGTTACCTGAAAGTCATTTTTGTTTTCAATGAGTTGTATTCAGGTTTTTTTTTTGCCCTGAGTTGTTTACGTCACATATCATATCTAAATCGCAGACCATTAAAGTGTATGGAGAACCTAACATTATTAGATAGTAAAAGGAAGAGTAAAACTCCCATCAGTTTGTTTTTTTGCAGTCTGTGTCCAGGTTGGGGAGAAATCCCTTCCTGTCCTAAAGGAACTGAAATCCAATAAATGAAAGGAGCAGGTCGGGGACAGTCTGGCTGGGGAGGAAAGTGCTACATTTATTTATTTATTTCAGATACTTATATAGTGCCGTCAATTTACACAGCGCTTTACATATATATTGTACATTCATATCAGTCCCTAACCCTCAAGGGGTGTACAATCTAAGGTCCCTAACTCACATTCATACATACACATATTAGGGTCATTTTAGACAGGATCCAATTAACCTACCAGCATGTCTTTGGAGAGTGGCAGGAAACCGGAGTACCCGGAGGAAACCCACGCAGGCACAGGGAGAACATGCAAACTCCAGGCAGGTGGTGCCATGGTTGGGATTTGAACCAGCGACCCGAGTACTAACAGGCAGAAATGCTAACCACTTAGCCACTGTGCTGCCCAGATGATACTAGATGTCTTCCAGGCAGGAAATGAGGCTCTATGGCTTGCTGCAGCTTCTAATGCACAGTTCAAGAAGCTCACAGTATGCAGTGGAATCAGAATAAACAATTTCAGTACAAGAGGAGTCTATAAATTCTGTATAATAATCATTTATTCTTGTACAGTTGTATATAGTGCCAACAGTTTGCTCAGCGCTTTATAATATAATGGGAGACAATACAGTTCAATACAAGAGGGATAGGAGGGCCCTGCTGCTTGGAGCTTACAATCTAAGAGGGAGGGATGGAGTTCAGGTTTATTGAATTCAGAGCTACCTATACCAATAAAGGCTACAAATAGGTTGTGTATTTTTTGTTTTTTTGTTTTTTTTACACATTCAAATTTACACCAAGTATTCAATTCCCGCATTATTAGAGTTCCGATTGGTTCTCATTGATGCAGACAGAGAAGGTCAGGGGTCATGAAGCCTCATAGGACAATCAGAGGAGAATGAAAACTCCTCCTACAAGATTAACCACTGCTCGGCGGGACACTGATAGAAGTCACAAGACTGCTATATACTGCTGATGAGAAAAGGTATATAGCAGTTTATATTTACTAAAACAATTGCATTTCCATGTTCTGTGTACTGTGGGAGACCAGATATAGTGAATGCAGGGTCCTGATAAAGATATATAGATAGAGAGATATATCTATATATAGATATATCTAGATATATATATATATAGATATATATATAATTTTGCAGTTCCAGGTAGGGGGAGCACATGCGCCCTACCTGCGCCCACCATTCACGGCCTTGGCTGTCAGTCACTGGGTCCCGGGTGGTGATTACTCACCTGCACCCGGTGATCGCCGAGTATCTCTGATAAACACAGATCTCTCACCTGTAAGCTCCTGCACACTGCTTTGTATGGCTCTGCAAAGCCGAGCCATGCAAAGCAGTGTGCTTAGTGGAAAGCACGCACACAGTTAACCCTTTGATCGCCTCACATGTTAACCCCTGCCTTCCCGGTGCCATTAGAACAGTGTCAGTGCTTTTTATAGGCCCTGATCACTGTATTTGTGCCACTGGGGATGTCAGGGACACCAAGTCAGTTCCTACCCAGTGTCAGAATGCCCGCTGCAGTCCCACTATAAGTTGCAGATCACCACCATTACTAGTAAAAAAAAAAAAAGTTTCCAGTATCTATACCGCCATTTGTAAACGCTATAACTTTCACGTAAACCAATTTAATTTACACATTTTGGGATTTTTTTTTTTTTTTTTTTTTTTTTTTTAGCAGAGACGTAGCAGATTACATTTTGGCCTAAATTTATGACTAAGTTTGATTTTTAAAAAGTTTTTTTACTGGACATGTTTAATAGCAAAAAGTAAAAAAAAGTGGTTTTTTTTTTTTCTCAAAATTGTCGGTCTTTTTTGTTTATAGTGCAAAAAATAAACGCACAGGTGATCAAATACCATGGAAAGAAAGCTCTATTTGTGGAGAAAGAAGGACATAAATTTGGGGTGCAGCATTGCATGACCGCGCAATTGTCAAAGTAACGCAAAAAAAATGGCCAGGTTAGGAAGGGGGGTAAATCCTCTGCAGGGCAAGTGGTTAAAAAAAAAAAACCGTGCTAGTAAACATAAATAGATAAATAAAAACCAAATACTTATAGTGAATTTTTCATCCGTGAATTTCATGTTAAATCAGTGAATTTCATACAGTGAATAAAAATGGTTAAAATGTCCATATAAAGCCTGAATTCAAATGACTTCATTATGTATGCGATCTTTGTTTTTTGATATTATGGCCACTATTTGCGCACGGAATGCCATTCCCTTCACCCTTTAATGGTCTAGCCATTTTGGAGCATCCTTTTATGGCTGCTGGTCTGCTATGGTGAGATTGTGATTGCACATCTTCCAGCTGAGTGTTCTATGACCATTTAGAACTTTATGGTCTATCTGGTCTGGTAAGAGGCTTTGACATCTGTATGTAGGTGGTGGAGGTGGTGGAGATGAGGTGGTGGAGTTTTCTTTTCACATTGTGGTGTATTGTCAGCACCTAGATCACACTTGGTACTTTTAGGAGAAGAAGGTACTTTAGTTGTAATTTGAATTTGAGCTTTATATGGACATTTTAACTTTTTTTTATTCACTGTATGAATTTCACTATGATTCAACATGAAATTCACGGATGAAAAAATCACTGTCATAAGTTTTTTTTTTTTGTTTTTATTCATTTAAATTTATTTACTAGCGCTGTTATTTTGTTTGTTTTTTCACCTGGTGTCACAGTGATTAACAGCTGCTTTGTCTTTTCATCTTGGCGCAGATATATTTTCTACTTAGTAACACTTAAAGTTGCAATAGATGGTGAACAGGGGTATTTACATGCCGCTACACTCCCGTGGCAAAATCTACCCAACATTTTGCGTCAGATTGAGAAAAAAAAAAAGATATGTCACAAAGCACCCTGTAACCGCGTGCAATAACACACTGGCAGTGTGTTTGTCACCGTAAATGCAAGCAGTGAGGAGACGCCATATCACTTACTCACTGCTTGTCAATAGCCTCTGAAGTGTGATCCGAACACAGATCGTGCGTCAAAGGAAGATGCATGAGGAATATTTACAGGCAGAAAGAAAACTCCAAAGGTGCGTTCAGGAGATCAGCTAATGAGCAGGGAAAAAAACCAGCTAAACGCACATGTTTGTGTGTTAATGGCCGGAATGAATTGTGAATAAATGCACATAAACGCATGTGCAGTGTCCAGATATTGCTGCGTTTTTTTTTTTTTTTTTAATGCCATATTTTCCTGCTAGGTGTTTAGAGGGGCTTTGCCAGATGTCCAGTGTGCATGAGACCTAAGCGGTTTTATCTTGCAAAGCATTTATACATTTGTGCATCCAGTCCTGAGATTTACATGGCAAAACCAGGTGGATGACTCTACTTTCCCTGTCCAGGATAAAGGCATACAGTGGTGTCCCTCATCCACTCCCAGTCTGCTGATTTGGACAGTGAGCACCTCCTCCTATTAGTATTTTCTTTGTCAGAATGTGTAGGATTCCTGATTCACTGATTCACTCCCAGTTCTGCACTCCCTCTCCCAGTCTGAACTCTCCTTTACATGAAATTTCAAGATACTGAAATCAAGTTAGAGCTAGTCCTTATAGTTACATTCATATCGGTGTCCTCTCCCAGGTCCCAGCCTGCTGATTGGACAGAGTAGCAGAAGACTGATGAGGGGATCTGTCACTGCTCACTCTACTTTCTTCTCCTTATTATCTCCTGCTCCATGCACCCAATTGGCTCCCAGTCTGAGCTCTGCTGTACATGAGATTACAAAATGCTGAAATCAATACACTAGGTGCCTTAAACACATGTAATGATGTGTTAATGAATACAAAGCTGCTTTGGTGTGTGTGTCTTTGATCTCAGCCTGTAGTTTGGCTTTGAAATTCAAATCAATATTATAATGTTTCTTTTATTTTTTTTGTTGTTATTATTATTCAACAATGTCAATCCAAACCGCTATTTATACTAATATAAGGCAAATTGTTCCATTGTGTTCTATTGTTAGGATAATTTGGACTAAATGCATTCTAAGTAATGTGCCTTATTAGACTGTGGATGAACGGCCTTTTAAATTCTTTTATTTCCCAATAAAATAAATAGATGACTCACAGCTGTCCTCTCCTCTCCCCCTCGGTGGCCTTTCTGCAACAAACACAGCAGTGGAGGGGCATGTCAGGCTCCATCACATGGGATCTTTCTGTCCTACCAATGATATTTTTTATTTTTACAAAGAAATGTTCTAAACAGTCTGACATCGCTGAAACTGATCTGTATTTATTTATCTTGCAGAGTCGACTCCTCTTCCCATCTGTAGAGCACCGAACATGACGTGACAGTGGAAGGGAGTGACACCAGTGTGACCCCTCGGAGCCTCAGCATGGAGCTCAAAGTGTGGGTGGATGGGGTCCAGCGCATCGTGTGCGGGGTGACGGAGGCCACTACCTGCCAGGAAGTTGTCATTGCTCTGGCACAAGCCATCGGTGAGTCTGATGTGGTGTTTGAAAGTTTTGGGTGAAAACTGGGACAGAATATAGTAAAAGGATTTTTTATTTTTTTTGTAATGTGGATGGTACAAATGTGAAAGGTGTTGTAACCCATCACAATGTGATGGTCCACAAAGTCCCTAATGCAGAACAAGTCTACAGATCAGAAATTCTGTTGGGTTCTTTTTTAACTTTACCTATCTCCATACTTGTTCCAGGTCAGTGACTCAAGAATAAAACCAGAGGAACAGCCAGGAAAATGGCATTTTCAGAAGAGTCAATAATGGCATTCTTCTCTATCTCATGGCAGGTTTAATTTAAAGGATAAGCTCACCTTTGGAAACATGTTACATGTTCCACCCGTTTTTGGGCAGAACATGTAACATGTTCCCATAGCCACAGCCGCTGCCCCCCCCTCCCCGTACTATCTGTCAAATCTGAAAACAACGCGGACCTGTGGGGCTCCACCCACACAGCTGCGTCACTCATTCACTGACTTCCGTGAATGAATGAACTGCAAGTCCTGACAGCCGCTAAGGCTGTCGGCTTGTAGTTTTCAATGAACTACCACTTCATTGAAGCTTTCTGTCAGTATATCTGCTTGATCGTACATCCCTTTGAAAAGCAGATATTCTGACAGGTCTGCAGGAGACCTGCATGGCATAATCGATCTACTGATCACTGATGCAATGCTTTCCAGGCCCCTGCAGACAAAGATAATCATCATTTTAGTCTAAAAGGTGAACGTATCCTTTAAAATGTAATTTCACTTTTTCTTTCCTTTTTTTTTTTTTTTTTTTTTTTTTTTAGGAAACTGCTAAGGCACTAAATGTTTTAAACTTCACTCAGCAGCTATAAATCCTGTAGAGTCTGACTTTTAATAAAAGTATACTTACCTTTCCATGGGTTCCAGCGCTGTCCTCGCCCAGGGTAGCTTTTGGGTTCCTGGTGGCAGCATCCTAACTGGGGGCAGCCAGCTATTCTCCTTTTGGTTTCACAGCTGGCTGCCCCCTGTGCATGCACGAGCCACACTGCACTTTGTGAATGTTCCTGCAGTCTTCTGGGACCGGTGGCGTGTCCTAAAAGACTGTGGGGAGGGTGGGGGTAGGAGAACCTGTGATAATTAGGTACCCTTCCCCCCCCCCACCACAAATATGGCAGAGGAGGGGGGCAGGAGGACTTAAAGTGGAACTTCCCCCTTTTGGGTAGAGTTCTGCTTTAAATACACCATTTAAATGTGTTTTGTTACATGTGTTCGATAAATGTTGATCCTACCAGAAATCCAGTGAACTGATAGCTTCCAATGCTTTTTGCCTGTGAGCGAGGAGAAGGGGATAGGGAGAAGAGGAGGCCATATGGAAATGTAGAGGGGTTGTAAAGAAAAGAGGATAACGATGATCAGGATATACTTAGTGTTTAACTCCTTTGTCCCCTTCTCCCCTTGGCTATTATTTTTCAGGGGTTTTTTTAACCAATAATATTTAAACTTTTTTTGTTTTCAGTATGTTTATTTTTTTCAGCATTGCAAAAAATGTGCAGAATTTGCATGCAATAGTGTTCGATCCAACTACAATCTAAATTCGATCTCTGCCACATCTCTGCATCCCCTTCTACCCCAGACAGCTAAGGGTTAATGTTCCAGCGCAGACCACTGCGATCATACTTAAACCCCTGGATTCAGAGCCCTACTAAGTGTGATTGTAATTCCGTATTTTGTCTGGTAAAATGTACTTGGAGGAGTGGGCCCAGTGGCAAGGAAACCAGATGGTGTGCACATTTCCAGCACGAAGCTTTGTAGTAGCAGATGTGAGCCGATTCCCTTGTGATCCTCTCCAAAGTCTGCAATAGCGGAGCGTTCAAGGTCCAATTAGCCTGAATGTGGTGTGTTTGGTGCAGGCAGAGCTCAAGCTGCTGAGAAACTGAAACTCCCAGATCGTCCTGCCACATAGTGGCTGTTGGGGATATGCTGGGAGTTGTAGTTCCTCAGTGATTATGCTTTGCCAGTGTTGATCTAACTGCCTTCCTGTACTGAGTCCCATACAAGTACTGCAGTAATATTGTACACTTTTCACAGAACAGTAGAAGTTTGTATTTTAGGTCCCCTGCACTTGGGGCCGTCTAGCTGCTGTGCACCTCTCCCTGCATTTTAAAGGGGGGGAGGGGGGAAGCAGGTACGGTATCCAGCCTTGTTGCCTGCAGCCTGTCAAAGTCTGGGGCTGAATGCTGTACTCCATATTTTTTTTTTTTTTTTTTTTTATGTTGGCTACATTCAGGCTAAATATTATGTCAGTGTAATACACCAAAGTATTTATTACCAATCAGTGCTCCACCTGACAATGCCTTCATCTGCTTTTTTTTTTTCTCCCAGAAAAACAGTACCATCTTTGTTCAGGCATCACCTGATGCCTGCCAAGTTCTTGTTCACAAATGTCTGACACAGATCAGACCCTACTGCACCCCCTCACCTTTTGCTACAACAATACAATGTTACAGTCTGATCACTGGAAGAGGGAACACTGAGGAAATCCTTTCTCCTGCCTGCAGCAGACTGATGAGGTCATCTCGGCCTACGCACAGTCCCTGGGCTGGATCTCAAGAATGCCTTGAGTCCTAAGAGGTAGTTTTCCTAAAGCAGAACTTTTGAGTAACATTTTTTTTGGTTAACTGCTCGTTTTGTCCAGGGGGCCCTGAAAGGCGATACTTACCCAATCCTTCACACCTCCCAAAAACAGCGCTACCCCACATCTAGTGGTGGACTGTTCCTGTGGTCCTCATGTCCAGAGCCAGTCCATGGGCATGATGACGTAAGGATCAGTTCACTCACAGGACCACTAGTGTGCAGGGGGGCCGTAGTAGCAGGGACCAGTCTTGCGCTCGGAGTATCAGCGGATTAGGTGAGTATATCTCCGGTGTTATCAGCCCTAGACAAAAAGAGCAGTTAACCCATGCAGCGCGGTCACAGCACCACTGTATGGTACAAAAAAGTTTTGCCTGGAATTCTGCTTTAAAACATTTATACATATTCATGTCAGGAACTGATTTTTGCAGACTTTTAAATTTAGTGAATTGGTTCACTTTAAGGTTTACTTTTTGGTCACTTTGCCTAAGGAAGAAACCTTGCGTGCTTCTGAGACGTTGCTTTTATTTATGACTTGCTGAGTATGCAGGAATAAAGGATCTGATTTCATGAAGAATAAGGTGGACTGACGACGCTTCTTATACCTTTTTGGTGAAGTGGCATTTGCAATTTTTTTGCATAATAAAATTTGCCGATGTTTTGGAAAGTTTTCCAAATTAAGAAGATGAAAAAGTCACCAAGCACAGTTCGGTGATGTGATGTCAGACAGGGAGATGTGATGAGCGAGTGTTTTCTCCAGCAGTCTCTGTACTGCGTTAAGATGTTTTAATCTGAACCAATTCTCTGGGGGATCTTTGAAGCAAAAGAAGAGCCGTTGCTCGAGTTGTTTGCTTACATTAGATTTGGCAGTGATCCCTGATGCTTAGTTTCCTTCCCTTCTTAGGACACAAGACATGGTTTACCTGTAGTGTTCACGATGAGATCACCAGACCCGACTCGTCACGTGGCATTTTGTCATATTTGGGTGATCTGACAAGCATGGATCAACTACAGGATGCTGACCTGATGCCCTTCTCCTAGTAACAGCCTGATGACGTATTGACATTTTAATTGAAAGTTTAAACTTTTTTGGAAGATGTTTCTAGGGTCTGTTCAGTCCAGGAAACATCACAACTCTTACTGCGTTCAACGTTCAAACCAGTTCAAGTACCAGATGGGGGTTTTTTTGTGCATAATGTTCTCATTCAAAACCACAACACTCAAAACGACCAACTTTTTTTTTTTTTTTTTTGTGGCTTTAAATTCATGAGTCATGAATACATCACTTGTTGGGAACACTGGTGACAATAAACATACGATTTCCTCCCTTGTCTGCAAGCCAATTGACTCCAGTTTTTCTGAATATCTAGTATAGTATACTGTACATAGTGTGGATTTTGGTAGTATATATTGTAAGAGTTTTAGCAAAATGCTTTGCAAATGGCTCTTATTGTACCTAACGAGAGAGGCTGTTCCTGCAATTACCGGTATGTGCTTGAATCATATGATTGATCACAGTGTTGTAATAACAGGCACACTGCATCTGTTGAGACATTTTTAACTTTTGACCAGCAGCCACCAAAGATGAAAGGCTCATTAAGGTGCAGGGAATGGCTGCAATGTGACCTCAAGCTTTGTGCAGACTTTAAGGAATAGTAAGGAAGCACTAAAAGGCACAAGGAATGCGAATTTAGAGATTGGCTACAAATATGATATCGGGGGTGGCTAAGTACTCTTGCCTTGTAGCAAAGGCACCTTGGGTTGAATCGTACGAAGAACTGTATCTGTGTGGAGTTTGTATGATCTTTCATATTTCTGTAGGTTTCCTCCCGCCTTCCAAAACAAATGGTAGCTAAAGTGTGTGTGTGCGTGTGTGTGTGTGCATGTGTACTGTATGTGTGGATGGATAGATAAGAGCCATGTATGTGTGTACATATAAATTTTCTTTGTGTGTGTATACAAGGTGGTATCAAAAGGTTTCAAGAGTAGTTCTGTAACAGTTGTTCTTTGTTCTGACTTACTGTCCATGATGAAATAGCAGACGTGGTAACGCACGTGGTCAAGATAGCACCAGTTGCACTGCTCTCGATGTACACAGGGCAATGTCTTTTGGCACACTGACTTATGTAATTCGGTGCTCCCTGTGACTGTGCGTGCAGCCTTGTCTTGCCATCTGTTGGCGTGTTACAAAACTTTTTGATACCTCCTCAAATATATATATACACTGCTTAAAAATAAAAGGAACACTTTTTAATCAGAGTATAGCATCAAGTCAGTTAAACTCCTGGGATATTGATCTGATCAGTTAAGTAGCAGAGGGGGTTGTTAATCAGTTTCAGCTGCTTTGGTGTTAATTAAACCAGGGTGGATTTGATTTAAA